TTCACACAAACACTAAACACCATCATCGTAACACACATGAAACTGAAATAATGCAATAAACATTCATTTAACAACATTAGGTGTAACATACAACCCTACTATACAAAACTGATAAGAAAAAACATAGAAACATAGTTATTTCAACAACAACAAAAAACTGAAATTTGAAATGTAACACAGGGAATTCTAGGAATGTCAATTTACGGTTATTCACTGTAAATTATACGGTCTTTTTCACTTAAAAAAACATAATGTCCAATACAGTTTTTCACCGTATATAGTAGGGGAATTTACCCTTAACCTTTTAACAGATTTTTACTGTAGCATTTTTACTGTCTTTTACCGTTAAATTCACGGTCATTTTTTACAGTGTAGTTAGTAGAATGTCTAAAGTGGACTATCAAAATAAAGTGTTACCCAATTTTATAGCTCGCACTATGAATCCATTTGGTCAGAGGATATCAAACATGTTTGATATTTTGAGCTGGTCTCAGAACACATGCTGTTTTCATCTATCATGCATCTTCTAGTGAAAAGTCATGTAGTGTATTCCAGCCTTTAAGCAGGTGACAAATCCTCAATTATATGTTGATACACCATCATATTTGCATAAAGAACGTGGAAAAGGACAACTAGAATTGGCTATCACAGTGCTGTTGTTGGTTTTCGGGGGGTTTATTCGGGTGCAAAAGTTTGATTATTTTTACCACATGTAGTGCGAGGAAATCTGCATGATAAAAAAGGCTAAGATTCTTTCATGCCCACAGCTTACTTACTTAGTTTAATATTTAGGTTACTTGTTTAAATCATGAACCCTGTATAAGCAATAACAAAAGCAAAGCTTGAATTCACAAACTGATATCTGTGGCCGGTTGCATAAGCTGCTTAGACTACTCTTAAAATTAGTCATCTAATTTTTCTCTTCAAGACTGGTCACAACTTTTTTAAATTACGTACATAAAAAGGTAAATTGGTCTAATTTGAATCTGAAAAGGAAAACTTGGTTAACAGCTAGTTAGTCAAACTAATTCCTAAGTCACAGACTGGCCCCTGAAGTATCTTCTCATTCCATGACTTCACATTAAAAAAACAAATGTACAAGAACTGTATTGTCATTGCACACGATGTTATTTTCCCCCACAACATACCAACACTAATGGCACCAATCTAAATCAGCTCAGCGACTAACACCAAGACCTTCCGCTATCTGTTCTTCAGAGAAGGGCACCATGAGCCAGCGTCATTACAATAGCTGGCATGAATTAAGAAAGGGAGGGGAACAGTCAAACAGAGCACTCTTTTAGTTTGTTCAAGACAAAACCTGCAGGTAGAATGATCCTGTAAGTCAGTTCACTAAGAGGCAGTTTAGCTGTTCAGATAAGATGGTATGAGTATGAGCGCGGCCTACAGAAAAGGCTCCTTCTGCTGGCTGCACAATGTCAGCGTGGAGGTGTTGGTGCCACGAATCAGCTCTCTGTGACCAAACGTGGAACAAGCCAGACATAAGATGGAAGCTTCTTTAGCCCTCATTAAACTTGTGATTATTCTGCTCTCTCTTTAGCTGACAGACCTGTTGGGGACTTACTTAGATGATAAAGGAAATGTATGTCTAATAGTATTCGACAGATTTGAGGTTAATGATGTTTGGTCATGAGGCATTCAAGCAGCAATGATGTTTGACTACACTGACGTCCAAACTGTGCCATAAGCCTCAGAAGCCTTGAAATATAGAGCATGCTTCATAATGAGTACTTTTGGGGTGAACTATTCCTTTAACTCATGACAAAAGATAATGCAACTTGCTCTTTCATTTACATAAACACCAAATTGTAAATTGTGAAAAAGAAATACACTTTAGCACCTTTAAAAAGAACGATTAGTACAGAAATAATATACCTTAAATGAATATAATTAAGTGTGAACTGAATGTAATGTTTTCGGACACTTGATTGCATGTTATTTACAATGAAGTGACAATGCATTATAGTTTAAATATATATTACATGCAATTAGTTAAATTTAGGTTTATATGGTTAAAATGTACTGTCGATTGTACTGAGAAGCAGTTATTGAAACGTGTATGTCCTGTATTAGTTAAACAATATTTGTATTTAATTATAAATATTTGTAGTGATTTATTAGATTTAAAATACATTAACTTTAAATGTAATAGTGAATAACAAACTACAGTTAAACTAATAATCAAGTACTTTACATGTGCTTTAGTATGCTAGTCAACATATCAAAATAAGCATAATTTGCTAAAGCATGGGAAAAGATTCTTAAAACATTCAACTTAAAATGTAGCTTAAAGAAAAACTGTTAATTTGACATTATTACAAAGGACACTTTTTTGTACTTACAGTAAGTGCATTAAGACACAGTCATGAAAATGTAGTGGTCTTTTATTTAGTAAATATTATATTACCTGCAAATACAGTTTATATATATATATATATATATATATATATATGTATGTACATATATACAGTATATATACACTGTATGTATATATATACACTACAAGTGCACATTCAATACATTTAAGCACACTTCTTTTTCCTAAGGGACTGTATCACTTATTCCACATCAAAGACAACGTACAAATGTATACGCAGAAAAAAGCATGGCCTCTAAATGCAGGTGAAAGTGAAAAAGCCTTTTAGGATCTTTGGCGGTTTAAGCATTGAAAGTTGAGACATAAACACAACATCAAAGATTAAATGTTTCCATCAAAGCTAGCGATAGGGGATACTGGTGTAGGCCAATGTCTATTAAACTGAGCAGAAAATGGGAGTGGATTTGCACAGAGCTCGGTGTGTTGGAGCTCATCTGATTTGTAATCAAACTCTAGCACTTATTCTGCTCTTACCTCTAAAAGCTTCCTATTATTGCTGCGCCAGTCGAGTCTTGGCTTCGGTGCCGGATTGTTGACGGCTGCACACCGCAGTGCCATAGTTACTGAATCCTTCCCTGTACTTGACTTTCACTTGATCCGTTCAGTGTAACCAAAACATCACTTCACTGATAGATAATACCTCTTAAAGGAATACTTCACCCAAAAATGAAAATTTGGTCATTTACTCACCCACATGCTCATTTTCAGACTTGACACGACCAGGCATGGCCAAATGTCATGTGTCTCATTGCTGAACATGACACACCAAGCTCGAATATGCATAAACAACAAATGCATACGTAATAAGGTCAGCCATTAAAATAACTGTCCTTGCGTCCCAATGTGCATATTATCCATCCTAAATATTATGTGAGATTAGAATAAGTGTGTCCTAAAGCATGTTGAAAAGAGTATGCCAAAAGTCCCCAGATGGCCTACTCTTTCAGGTAGATTCGGTTCAGAACTACAAAGACAAATAAAAAGCGTTTTTAAAAAAAACTACAAATATGGTGGATAGTAGACAGGTTTAGATAAAGGGGTTTGAGTTACTAATGCTGCGTTCCATTTGTACACGGAAGTTGGAAATTCCAAGTTCCCAGTAGGAACTTTTAACTGGAACGCCCTCCCAAGTTGGAGTTCCGACTCGGAATGTCGGAGGAATCACAACAACTCCAACTTCAGAATCCAATATGGCTGCTCAGTGCATCAACAGAAGAGAAACAGTAGTAATATATTTATTAGCACTTATGTTTGTCTGTGTCTCAGTGGTGCACACAGTACTATCCAACATGATACTATGGTGTTATCTGTGCAAAATACTGCTTTTTATGTGTTTTTAATCGACTGGTATTGCTAACAATGGATGCGTCCATCTTGGTTTTCTGACTTCTCTACTGGAAAATGGTCCACTAATCAACATTTAACCTGTTAAAAAATATCTATTTAATCTTATCTGTGTTATATTTAATCTGCAACAACAATGTTGACTGTTGACAAACATCTGTTTGGTCATTAACTTTTAAATGCATCATTATGCAAAAGAAATATGAGCAGAGTTCTCTGCATGAAAGACCCACAGCGTTCGGCAGATCAACGTGCTACATGTTTTCTCTCCGATACGGTCGGAAGTTAAATGAAATGAAATGTGGAAGATGTGAACTTTGACAAGATGATTGACAGGCCAGTTTAACATAACTATGTGTCAGAGATGCAATTGTATGACATGAACGTTTGTCCCAAAGCTTGCCTACTTTTCTACTACACACTCAAAAGTATGTGCTTTTTCTTCACAACAAAAGTCCATACTTTTAGGGCGTAGTATAAGCATGCAGCATGTGTCCGTGCCTTCTCACTGCTAATGTTTCACTGCATGTCTTTAGGAAATCCTGACAGTAGTTGTTTAGTCAGAAGTGGGTTTGCACTGGTGCAAGCTGTTAGTAAGTCTGGCCCCATGTCTGTTAGCTATCGCATGAATCCAGATGCAAGTGTGGACTACTTTTAAAATATTTATGGTATTTTTGTCCTTTTTGGTCACTAGTCACCGTATGCTCTTGGTGTATGGAAAAACAAAACAAAACTCCTTTTGTGTTCCACAAAAGAAAGAAAGTCATACAGCACAACACAAGAGTAAGTAAATGTTTCATTTTTGAGTTAACCAACAAGGCAATTCATAACTATTTGACATTTTGGTGAATTGGTGGCTATCTCATTCATACGTTTTGGTAAAATATACCAATGCCTCAGTGACCTCACCTTCATGCTTACTGTTTTTCTAAAAGTCGTACCATTGTGAATTGTTCGAATTCTTACAAAATATCCACCTGGTAAAATAGTTCTCCATGAGATTGGGTTGGGTCAACTGTTCCTTTAAAGGAAGCGCTCGAAACTGAAGATGTCTGACATTTTTTATTTACAGGAAACATACAAAGCGAAGCCAATACATTGCTTGTATAATTGAACACATACCTTTCGCCCTACTTCGTTGTTATGCAGATTCATAAGCGTCCTGGCGCTGTGTTTGATCTCTCTGGCGTCCATAAAGACTTTGGAGAAGCCCAGGCCGTGGTGGATGTCTGCCGAGCAGCCGCCCCATTTCCAGCCGTCGGCGTGACCGTGGAAGCCCTGCTTGTCTTTGTCACAGCTGCAGTCGCTGAGGTTTCCCTGCGTGCAGGCGGCTGTGACGGCATGAGCCACTCCTGCTGCGATGATGGCGTACGTGAACGCAGCCTCTTTACTGCCTGTGAACACCGAGAGAGAACACCGACTTTATAACATCATAGCACTGTATATTACGACAATCACAGTTTTTAGAGATAATGGATGCAAATCAAGTACTTCAAATAAAGCATCAAATATCTGCGTTAGTGAATAATTTAATGTGGTTAGAAACTCAAAATACAAATGTAAAAATAAAGTACATTGAACAAATGAACTGCTGACATGCATCACTTCAGATTGATGTCCAAATCTCTTTGACCACTAGTGCATATGTGTTTACAAAATAGTTATGTGCAGACGATTTTTAGTCAGTATAATAAGTGTGTACTTTTTGTAAAAAAAAATCATGGGTAGGTAGTATTTTGAATGTGTTACAAACAAAGAACATTTGTTAGGCAAAATAACAAATTTTGGAACAAGTGATGCTCTATGAATGAGCTGAAAGGAAAAAAACTAATGATCTAGAATCAGAATCAGAATAAAAATCAGAATCAGAATCAGAAAGAGCTTTATTGCCAGGTATGTTTACGAGGATACGAGGAATTTGTTTTGGTGACAGAAGCTTCAACAGCACAAACAGAATCACAGTGACAAGACAAGACACAGATAATAAAAAGAATAAAAATAGGATAAGTAAATCGGAAATAACAATATACCAAAAAATAAAAAATACACAATATACAAAGTAGACAACAGATGGTATTTGTGTGTGCAGGTGTGTTATGAACAAATGCAAGGAAATGTAAAAAGAGGTGTTAAATAAATAAATAAATGTATAAATAGTGTTGTGTATTAGACGTTTATTGCCAAGTTAGCTGTTCATGAGATGATCTGCTTTGTGTGTGAAGAAACGAATGAACTATACTTCCTGAGGTTATCACTCAAAGCTTCTCCATAAATCACCGACAGACACCACTGTATTTGCATAATCGGCAGATGGATAACAATTAACTTAAACTGTAAATTAGAGCTGTCATCCATGATAACACATACAGATAAATAAACATATAGTCAAAGATGTGATTTCTCTCATGTTGTGTTGAGACGGTCTGTTCTTTTTCCTTCAAAATGTTGAATCAAGAAACATAATGTATATTATTTTAACTTTAACCGTTAACATTTTCCAACATTGACTACATCAGCTAACATGAACTAACAATGAAAAATACTTCCAAAGCATCTATTAATCTTAGTTCATGTTCATTTCAACATTTATTACTGCATTATTAAAATTAAAAATGGTATCTGTTGATTCTATTTAATAGACCTGAGCTAACCTGAACTAACAATGAACAGCTGTATTGTTATTAACATTAAGAAAAATGACTAAATATGGTAACAAATTATTTCTCATTGTTAGTTTAATGTCAGGTAATGCGTTAACTAAAGTTAACTAATGGGATTTTATTGTAAAGTTACCCTTTAACCCACTCTTGTATCACCCGGTAGACAAGCAGTATTCAGAAATGTGGCTGTGATTTAATAAAATAACACTGCTTTATTATTGCAAGCGCACATCACATTATACACCAATCAGTCAATCAGAAAAACTTGTGAAAATTCATTGTTTTTATGCTTTTATGTTTATGTTTTATATCTGAGCTTTCATACAGAACTACTGTAACATTTTCATCCTGGACTTTTGAAGCTAGTTAAGTTGTTTTGCAAACTGTTTACAAACGAATTTAGTAAGTTCTCATAAGATTATGAAAAGTAAAGATGTATGAGTCTAAGTGTGCTACAGGAATGGTCTGTTTATTGAGTCATTTGAAGTGTCTCTCAGACACTAAACACAATATTAGGAGCATACATATATTCACCATAGACTCGTGTTTCTTTACCCAGATTTGTCTCTGTTAACTTTCCTCAGATTGAGTTTAGACCTCATGAACTTCTCTGATACAGCAGCTGTGCCTTATTTTTAAGAAAAAGTAAAAGTCCATTTGTCTCAGATAACATCTTATCAAAACTCTTCAGGCTGCAAATACCAACCCAAACACTGATACATGCATAAACAATGTTAATACCAAACTCTGCGATGGCTTTCAGTCAGAAAAGAGGGGCCATACTCGGCCATACTGCTGGTGCTTTAAGGAACTAAGAAACCTAAATACTGCAAAAACCACAAGAGCTTTTAATCTCCAAAGAACTATACAGCAATTAAAGATGGTTCTCCAAAATAGTTCTCTATTAGAAGAGGGTTGTTTGCTGAACCTATAGCTTGTATCTTTATTTAAACTTTATATATATATTCCCATCTTTAATGACTGGTTTCTGAGATGTTTTGGAGCGCATACATGACCGCAGGTAAGAAACACGCTCATGTATCTCATCTGCCAGACATTTCAGGCATGTGGCACGGAAATCTTGAAAACTTGAACAGGTCGATCTTATTAACGTAGCCTATGAACTGGGACTAGTAAAGGAGGTTACTGTTTTACCCAAAATTAAACAAACTGTATAATCCGTAACGAGATTAGGAAACACTTCCCTCTCAGCCAATACTAAGCAACACTACTTTCCAGATTCCCCCAAATGCTGTTTTAGACATACGAGAGGAGACTTCCAACATACCCACTCTCAGCTCTTTTCCGAAGACGGTCCTCTCGCCGAGCGCGGAGCAGTTCCAGCGGCCGTGCTTGAACTGGAACTGGCACTCGTTGATGCCCATCTGCGCGCCCTGTCCGATCACGATGAGCGCGTCCGGCCGGCTCTGACAGATGATGCGCTGCCTGGGCGCCAGTCCCGGGATCTTGCTGCATATGATGCTCGCTCCCAGCGCCAGCACGGTGGAGAATCCCCTGCAATTGATCAGAGAAGAGCGTCTTCATATTTAACATTCGGTTGCTGATCAAACGAATATTGTATACCAAAAAAATAAAGCGCTAATATTGCACAACAGCCTCCGCCGCAGTCATGACCAGCGGACACCCCGCGCGAGCGCACCGAAGGCGTCCAGTGGCTGTCCATGGGATGTTTCCAAAGATCCCTGCGAAGTGCGCAGCAGATCCTTCAATGCCTTTGGAAAGCATCATTATTTAAAAGGCTTAAACTCCAAAAAAAGTGGCTTTCCCACTGAATAAAAACGATTTATTTTACTTTGTCGCGCTATAATTGCGGTAAAATATCCATCAAGTTAACTTCTGCTGCAACTGGAAAAGTAGACAAATATACAGAGCAGTAGGTTCGTCTAATGCAGAATAGACACCAGACAGCATTAATTATTCTAACAACATTAATAGTGCATTTGTGTGCTTTCCCCACAGCTCACCCCATTTTCAAGTAGATTATTCCGAGACTAAGGAAAATGTGAAATATCCACCGTCGTGTTCTTCTGCTCATGATGGTCCTGTCTCGTTTCGCTCCAAGGTAACCAGAAACGGAGCTTTCAGATGGAATGGTCAGTCTATCAGCAAATAAAGTCCGTTTGAAATTTCCAGGTTTTCCAGCGAGGACACTTTTGGCCGCACATGTAGCTCCACCGTCAAGGTGTGTCCAGCTCGTGTCGAGCGCGCATAGCGGCACAGGTAGAGCAGATCTGACCCCTTCATCCTCCTCCTCTACTTTATATATCTGGGCGTGTTCTTAAGGGCCGCTGAGCCCACCCATACAGTCTCATATGCATCACAGAAGTCGTGTGTCTGCTTTCATTCACATGCACTATTAATAAAAACAAACCATTAGACACAGCCCGTCATGCAGATAGCAGTTAGTTTAATAATCAGTTAAAGCACTCCTTAACATGTCTCAACATAACAGGGGATTTTGCACATTTGTATCAGTGAATCAATGTGAATGGTTAAACTGAGTTTACAAGTGACACTTGCTTTCAAATTACACATAAAATGTAGACTATAAGCAAATATGACTGTGTCAAAACCTGTGTTTTTTTAAAAAAGTTAAATCTGTGTTAGTTTTCTGTAAAGTACTGTGAAGTGTCCAGGTGGCGTTCTTGATGATAAACTAGAAATAACCAGGCAGCTGTCAGGCGTATTTTGATGTGGTTTAGGAGTGTTATAGAAGTCTGGAAGCTAAACTACAGGTGCTTCAGATTTGAGAAAAGACCTGAGAGTCGGATGTCTGTCCGTTTATTCTCTATACTCCGCACAACTCCCAATCTTAAAAACTCATTCTTTAATGTATAGCAGCTTACATTAGCAGTATTGTTCATCAATTCTAAAAAACCTTTCGCAATCACTCCCTCTACTGGCTTAATCAGTATCTCGAGCGCCAGATTTGTGAAAACGCAACTTGTCTGTATGCTTTAAAAAGGTTCCCAGCCAACATTTGTGTGTGGGGCCGTGTGGGGCCCATGTGGGTTTGACATGGGCTGAAAAAGTGGGCCCAAGATGGGATTGTCCGCGGGTTTTCACAGTAACAGAGCACATATTGTCACTTAGCAAATAATTAGTTTTCCTCAGCTCAGCTTCAGTTGAGTGTCTTTCCTGTTGGGCACCATTCCAGACAAGATGTCTTTTCATTACTGTACTCGGTGCTGCATTCAGCCGCACACTAACTTGACAGTCACTGCAGTAATAGTGAGGGATGTCTGGAGAGCTGCGTGCATGGCCAAAGATTTCTCTGATACTGACACTCTTTTGTAAAATGTTATATTTTATGTAACATTATCATTGACAAAATAAGGAGATGTAGTACTGTTCATTCAGAAAGAGCTCAGACCCCTTTAATCAGGTTTTCTTTAAATAAATAAATGAGCTAAGTTATCACAAATCTGTTTTAGCTGTGGAATGTGGACAGATGTGGAAAAAAATGATGATGGTCTGAATGAGGGTTTTGTTAATTAAAAGTAAAACCATAAAAATGTTACTTGCAACATAAACATTAACTGAAATAAAATATTAAAAAGCTTAAACTTATTTTATTTCAGCTAGTTGCCAAGGCAACATGTTGAAGTAGGCTAAAATAACTAAAAATAAATAAACCAAATCTAAAAACTTAAGCTTAATAAAAACAACATAGGCCTATACTTACTTAAAATAAAATAAAATAATAATAGAAGAAAATATGTGATAGAAGTAAATGTGCATTTACTTGTGTGACTTTAATTATAATTTACATGATACATGATATCAAATATATGAAAAGTGTTGATAAAGATACTGATAGGGCTGTGGAGGCTGGGAAATACTGGTTATTAAAAATAAAAAAGATGATGAAGATGAAAGATAGAATGACACAGGATACTCACTCCCGGCTATAGTTTATATTCATTTTATTAGGCCACAGATACATTTGTAGAGGTTTGTTTCAGGCATTGTTGTATACACACTGCAGTACTAGTCACCAATGACAACTATAGGTAGGCTAATCTATTCAAATTAATTAATTAATTAAAGCCCCACAACTGAAATATATAAAAGCTTAAAAACACATCAAAAAAAAAAAAAACTATATTAGCCCAGGTTAGCATAAATTATTCAATTATTGTTTGTTTTGATGTAATCAGGCAAAACAGCTTAGACGATTTGTCATATTATTACACAAACTATGCTGTTTTGACACTGTTGCAGTTAATGCTTTAATGCTAAACATTGATAGGCCTACTTCATTACCTTTTCGAAATAATCCATTAAACACGTAGCGATTTGAGGAGCGTGCACTAATATTTTCAGTTCCATTCATTTGTGCGTTGTTTCAAGGACACGCCCACAACAAGGGAACTAATGACTCTT